GCAAGAGAAGTGTGTGTGTGTGTGTGTGTGTGTGTGTGTGTGTGTGTGTGTGTGTGTGTGTGTGTGTGTCTGGAAAGCAGACAGTATAGGTTATATCTGTCATTAAGAGCAAGTCTGAACAGAAAAAGGGACATTTTCAGCACATCACCTAAAACAGCCACAGTAAAATGATCCTCCAAATGTGTGTCATTACACAAAGTTAATCAAAGAACATTTTGATATCAAAGATCAGCATTGTCATTAAAGGCAACACTCTTCATGTGTCTGTTTTAGCTAGGGGACAACATCAACAGTTTCATGTTTCATGTTAATTATGATAAATTTCACACAGTTAAAATTCCATTCTAATTTATCTGTAGTTGTGATGTGGTTTTGGTGACTTCTTTGATGATGTCATCCTTTGGCATCTGACAAATGATGGGTAAATTTATGGAAATATTTACTTATGATTTATCAGTTTTGTAAGATTGATATGTATGGAAAAAATATCTATCAAATAAGAATAAGATAAAAGTATGTATTAGAACTGAGTACAGTAGAAGTACAATTACTATAAAAAATAATATAAAAATGGCACAGGGTTCCTTTGGCCTTTGCCAGATGATTAATCTTGTATTTGACATCTGGAGTAAGAGTGTTGAATTATCAGGACTTTCATTAATTCTGTACTTATCTGAACATAAATATATCTGGATATTTTGAAAACAGTAAATAGCAGTGATGTTTGAATCTTGGATGAATGTTTAAATCTATGCATTGAGGGAAACCTAATTACCCATGAATCACTGATCCTCGTGTATTTTATAATATAGTGCCTCTGAATGTTTATTTGTTGGTAGCAGATATATGTGAGAGGAGACCTGGCCATGAGTATGTGACTGTGTGGCAAGTCCTTGCATGCCTTTAACCTGACTTTGAGCTTTAGTTGGTATTCTGAGTCTCTGTTGTTAAAATTAATAACAGGATTTGTTCAACCACCCCAGACAGGGAATGTCTTCTGTACCTCTCTATCTGTCCTTTCTCACTCTGGCCTTACATTTCACATATTTTAAACATCAGAAATCATTCAAGAAAGACAAATGAAAACTAGCCAACTTCATCTTCTGACCTGTTTTAAAAATGTAGCTTGGAAATAACAAAAGCAGCTCTAAGAGGGCCTGAGATCACACTAACCAGAGGGAAATTTTACAGATCCTTTTAAATAAAATTAGCTACACAACTTTCTTCTGTTTGTATGTGACAATATTATTCAAAATGAAATCTATATAATTATGTAAACTTTTTCTTTATGAAATAAATGTTTTATGACCTATGTAGGCTAATAATATTATAAATGTTGAATGTAGATTTTTGTGTTAATGTAATTTTTTTTTGTAATTTATTGAAATGCTATATATATATATATATATATATATATACAGTCGTGGTCAGAATTATTGGCACCCTTGGTAAATATGATCAAAGAAGGCTGTGAAA